AACACAGTTCACACTACGTTAGTATCCCCGCTGAATTTTCTACAGAACTACTTGATTGGCCTCTAGAGATGTAATATTTATGCTTTAATTTCAGATTGCAAGTAAGCGTAGCCTGTTACAAGCCATTACAAGGCTGGGGATGTGGGGATACTTTATAACCTCACATTTTAGGATTAAAATATGATGGAACAGTTTGTTTAATTTACAGTCAAGAGTTGGTCTTGCAGAATTATACAATTGAATAATTCTTTTGGGATAAAATTTCTGTAATTGACTTTTCCAGCAATAAAACATGGTGATAAAAGGTAAATAGATGACTTCTCTCTTTGGGTGTGGCATGAAATGTTATTTTAGGTTGTATTCGTATTTCTCAAGTTCTGGTTCTCCACTGTAGCTGCTGGGCAGGCGTCTAATTCCTTCTGCTGGCTCTAAGCTGGTGTTTGTGTTGGTGCCAGTCAGATGCAAGTAAAAGAAGCCAAAGAAGTCTAGGTTCATTAATAACCCAGAGCCATACTGAGCTCTGGACAGAGATGGCTAGCTCATATCTCTCCTTAGAAATGGAGAAAATTGAAAGGAACATAGAAAATTCAAATTGATTAAAATTAGGGTGATTTTTAGCAAAAATACATATAAAATAATTAGCTTTTTTATATGTATGTAAATATGCTCTATCATTTCCTGTTATGCAACAAGAAAGTTTTACAAGAAAAGAAGTAGAATTTAACACCATTATCATTCTTCATATATTCCTGGGAGCCATGTGGAAGGAGAAGTTGCAGGGATTTTTATTTATTTTTTGCATTAGCTTCTTTCAGCTCTCTCCAGACTTAAATATGATTTGAGTCAGACCTCATTATTTACAGACTTTGTCCATCTTTTCTTCTCCATCCCTTAGATGGCTTGTTTCCTGACTCTCTGTGACGCATTTTTCTCAGAACAGCTCTGGTAATAATGAAATGTAATATCTATTTTTGACATTTAGTGCCTCTAATACTTGGCACAGCTAAGCAACAATATGCCACAGAGCTTATTATGGCATTTCATCTTTTGTGTATGCATTTTGTTTTGCTGAATATACAAAAACTAATGCAGAGCTTCACTTAGGTTTTCTGCCTATAGAGCATAATCCTCGAGAGCCTTTGCAAACATTCTTCCTTCTCCTAATAAGAGTTTCTTTGGCTCATTGAGTCTTTCCAGGTTCATTAGTTGTTTGTGTGTTTTTACACGTTCTGCACAAATCCTAATAGGCTTCAAGTTTGTCACAGCTGCTGTTTCTGAAGGCATCTTTGTATAAAGTCCCTGAAATGGTGCAGCAGCCTCATTATCTGTTTAAAATGCTCCTTTATTATCACATTTATTAATTCCACTGTTTACAATATCAAAATTATATCCACTAAGCACTGCTGCTTCATAACATTGTGGCAAATATTTCCATTTACATGTGGCCTGAATGCACATGCCGTTACATAATCTAAGATTAAGTCTGAGATTAATTAAGCTCTCTATGGCGGAAAACTCCCTCTAATTAACGTTAACATTTTTCAAACTACTGACAATAAATCATATCATGGTAATCTAATTTTATCCATTAGAGGCACCATGGGATCCAAGGCGATATCTTATAAAGAGATTAAGATGTTTTACTTCTCATCAAATTAAAGTAGGTCTCACCAAGTATTAACAGTTGCTGTCGGCAACTATCTGGTTACTTGTACCTGTTGGTGACCATGTTGATACTTGATGCACCTTTATTTGGACTGCCCAACCTTAATTCGAGTAGAAAGGCTCTTTGGTCCAGTTGGGTTGATCATTGAGTAGCTATAAAGAAAACAGCTGAGGGTTAGGCACAATGCTCACTATGCTGCAAGGAGGAGGGCAGGATGATCACCTCTATTACCGAAATCCCACATCCTCTGTAACTGCCCTGTTCCACTGCAGACCGCCTGCTCAAAGCAAAGCCTACACCCTCAGCGGTTCCTCCCATCTTGCTCCGCTCTGACTTCCTCGGAGCTCGAAGACAGCATGGGCGATATTGTAATTTAATTTATAGGGGAAAAAACATGCAGTAACGAACGCTTAATTTAATGCAATAGGGATAATTAGATCATACAAAATTTGTTTGTTCTATACTTCCAAACTCTGCATCTCTTCATCTATGCCAGCTAGGATGAGAAGTTTTTTGATGTTGTGAGATGCGCAAATGGAAGTTGTTGTGACTGGATTTGATGAATTTTTTAAGCCTCTCAGTATAAAATAAATATTTTGATCGAGATGAGAAATCTGCTTCCTGGTATGTTGAAGTACCAATAGTTCCTATCCAATAATTTAAACAAACGGTCTTAGTTTTGGGGTATATATAAGAATTATGCTCTAAGTTGTAGGTACCGATTTGTCGTTACTATATTTTACTTTGACAAACTGGATCTTCTCGATGTTCTTTTTCCCGTTCGCTATTGCAATTGCGGATCTTAAACTTGCCAGCTTCCAACGGACCGGAGCGGAGCAAAAAATAGCTTGGCTCCATATTTTGACGTTGAAGAACGGAGAAGACCTACGTTGACGGTGACGTGCGGAAGAGTAGCGATGGATGTGGAATCTGGGGGTAAGATCTTTACGGAGAAGTTGGTTGAGGTTTGAACTAATAAATCCTTTGCCATTCCAGGATACTGGAATTTACTGAGCCAGACTTGAGACAAAAAGTCTCAAACTAATAAATGAAACATTCCTCGGATAGCGATACCCTTCTGAGCATTTCCATGATCTCGGCTAGTATCTAATTTTGGTCAACTTCTCTTTTCATGTTTTCCTGATTACCTCTCCTATTTCTATTAAACATATTAACAGCAGAAATCTAAGAGTGGTGTTGAAGCATCTTTATTAAGGGACAATGTTTGCTAATTACCCAGTTATATCGACAAGGTGTTTGATTCTCAGACAGGTTTCATGATCTCTTGAAGTCCATCCAGCTAATTCTACACATCTTCAGCAGTACCATGCATTGCCTTGTTATATTGGTATTGTGGTCCAGCTTCCTCACTTAAATCAGTCTCCACCCTTAGTTGATAGTTTGAGTCACTTACTCACATCCTTCAACAGCTTGGACTTGCTTAATGTCAACCCAGAGGTGCTGATTGCAGTCTATGGCGATCTGGTCAAGTGCAACTTCTGGGATTTTTTTTTTCTAAAGCTCATGGAGCTTCACCATCAAGTGCCAGACTGTATAAGTACTGCAATCACAGTCTAAAATACCACTACCAACCGGCTGAATGGCTATGTAATGGACTATAAAGTGATTGAGTGAGCAATTTAAACCTTCTTCCAGATGCAGCTATTTTATTAAAGCCTCTTTAAATTGTTTAAAGCATAAAATAACAATAAAATTGGTTTTAAAGTTGAAGCATGTATTTGGGTGTAACATGGTCTAATAAATACAGCTATCAGCGGGGAGGGATGATGCTCATTTGTGACATCCTCATTTCATATTCTCGCCAGTTGGGCATGCCTCAGATTTTCAGGTGTAATATAGCTCTGCCAAATCAGCGGTAGCCCCATTACTCATCCCCCTCTGCGCTGTCTCCTGGCTGGTGCTCCGGCACTAATGCAGATTACAGGGATATATGAGGGCTATTTTGTTCGCTGCAGGGTGGAAACGATCACAGGCAACCCCATCCCTCTCTGATGCACAACTCTACATCTGTTCCCCCCGCGAAAGCCTATCTGGATATCCATCAGAGCCAAACCTTTATCAGATCTGAGGCGACCACATCTATTGCTCATCAATTATAAATGCTGTGTGCAAGGAATTGGGTCACTCTATCAACAGTAGCTCTCGATCCATAGAGACATTGTTTAGTTAAGTGATTAGTGGCTTATCTTTACGTACAGTCGCAGTTCTAAGTGTTAAATGGTCCGTTTATGATGCATGAATACAACAGCATAAAGGCCTTGGGTGAAGGAAAACTATTTGCTGCTGATTTTTATGTGATGTTTTATATCATCTCTTTAATGTGTCTGAACAGGTGAGAGTCCTCAAAGGTGTTGAATTGCTTACGCCACAATCGATGAAAACCATTCTCCTCTCTTCCTGCAGCGCCATAGTATGATGACAAATGAGTCGATCTGCATTCTCGCAACTTTATTTCATTTCCAACTTGCTCCCCGACTGAGAAGACATTGTTTAAATTTCTAATCCCATCTCTGTGAACGGTACACGTCAAAAAACGAAACGTTTTAATCTTCATGCAAGTCTCTCCTCATCTGTTGCGTAAATAGACCATTCATCATGTTATTGGGCTTTTACAGCTCGACTGTTTGAGTGATTCTTTTCTCAAATAGCAACCCCCCCTCCCTGCCCCACCGCAGCCTAATCAATCATTTTTCAATGAAGATGTCACAGCTCATTGTGTGGACGGTTACCCTGAATGATTCCCATAGGATCCTTGGAAGATAAAGTGAAAGCTGAAACCATTTTGGATCCAGTGGATGGTTAGAGAATCTGACCTAAATACTGTTATATTTTACTGCTCGGTTGTCAACAATTTTTACCTCAGTGGGGGTGGTAGCAGGTGCTGAAACCTCTTAGCGTGCTCACTATTACCTTTTCATTAGGCGTGCTAAACTGCAGGAGTCATCAACAAGTAGTTGCTGCTCGACATAATTGGTTTGTGGTTAATGTCTGTTGTGAAGCTGTAAGTGTCAGCGAGCTGCGAAAAACCCAGCGGGAGCTCTTTAAGACTTCAGATTTTCTCAAGAAGAAGCACTTTTTAAAGAGAGACAGCTTTTAGAAACCGGCAGCCCAAACTGCACGCTGACGATTTCTTCCAGGCTGTGCATTGTTATCCAAGCCCCTTCTAATGATCCTTAATTCAATAACCAACCCTCAGGACTGTCTCATTAAATAACCAGCTGCAGTGCAGTAATAAAGATTTCATTTTTCTTGAGTTCTTGTGTGTTCACATCTCACCTCTCTGCTCTCTCTCCCTTTTTTTTTTCTGTTGCAGCCACCGTCAAGGAGTTGAAGAAACCTTTGGCAGCTGAAGCCGGAAACGTGACATCCAAACACAAGTGTTTTCACCAAACACAAAAACAGGGAAAGTACAAAACAGTAGAGAGAAGTCTTACTTTGGTTCCTTATGCTTTGCTTTTAAGAAACAAGACTTTCTTTGTTATGAGCTTCTAAGGTTTTTTTCCTGTTTGTTTTTCACCGATTATTGACTATTTTCGGTGGAGCTCTTCCTCATCCATTTGTCTCTTAATCAAACCATTTTCAGGGAAATAAGGGTTTTGGTTCCCAACTTTCATCTAATGATATGCCCCTCAGGTTGCTGAAAACATCTAAATAATTTAAGCCCAAAATGTATAAAAAAATGATCAGTTTCTTTCAAATAAGGGTGTAAGGTCATTAAAGGTTAATTATTTGCTTCTGACCTTTTTAGAGCGGCATACTTTGCCAGAGGTTAATTCATAAATAACTTAGGATCAAATCAGTGAAACTACCTAATTAATAAACTTAGTCATTTGCATTTTAATTGAAAAGTTGTATCTCTCATCGACATGCCAGCAACATGTCATAAGCGCTGTCATTTATCGCATCAATTTGACCATTATGGTTGCACAACAAGTGTCATTTATTGTCAGACTGAGCAGAAAAAACGGACTGCTTTATTAACTTGTGCGTTTAAATTTGATCACTAAGACTATACAGCTCACAAATGTCTTTTTCTTTCTCTGATCGCTCATTGATTTGTTTTTCATTTATTTTTACTCTTAAAGGTCTAATAGAACACCAACCATACTTATCTCAAATCTTATATATATATATATATATATTCTTCATTATAAGCTACAGTCTTCGTGCTCTGCAGAGAAAGTCCCATTCCCACTGCAGTCTGATTAGTAAGATTTAATCTTTTAGCTCATTTCCAATGCTTTATCTCATGAGGTCCTTCACTGGTGTGTCAGCCCACCTCCCTACCCTCAGCACACCTATGTTGCATAATTAAACTTGAATTAGATCATTAGCATACAAAGCAGGAAACCTACCGCCGTGGAGTCATACATATTTATCTGGATGTGCCTGACTTATGCATGCAAACCTTCATACTGTAACCCCTTTTGCATGCAAACACGGTTCTCTTGTGCAAGAGACAAGCAAGCAGATACTATGAAATGGATATGAACCATAGTGTGTTGGTTTTAAGAAGCATACATTTATCTGTGGGCCATCCAAGTAAGGTTTTTGTTCAAGCAGGCTTTTTAAATCATGCAAGGCTGGCTGTAGAGAATGTGTGCATTTGGAAATGGAGCAGATGGATTTTAATTAGGATCATTTGGGAAGGTTGCTTTCAGTGCATCAAATATTGCTTGCACACAGAGGAATGTTCTGAAACGAGTAATGCCTGCAATCCAAACTCATCTGCTGCACATTAACAAACAAAAAAGACAAACAGAACACAGCCTTCTGAAAAATCACGTGTTGCTTTATGAATGACTCCTTTTCTCTTCTTTCCCTTCCGTCCTTTCCACTAGAAATTAACTCTCTCCTTAACCACCCTCCCTGCATCTTGGGGATCCCTTTCCAGTCTTCTTTTTCCTTCCAGCTGGTCCCTCCTTTTGCAGCACCATGGACTGCCCCATTAGTATTCCTTCCTCCTTCCTACTTTTCCCTTCCTCCTGTGAGATTGCTGTTGTGTCTTATGGCTTTTTATTCCTACGTGATGGTAGAATGGTTCATGTAGGAGTAGAAGCCACTAAACACGCGGTGAGTGCTCGACATGCTGGCCAGCACATGCAGAGAGCTTCCTGTGGATATGACAGCTGCCATGTTCACATCAATGTGCTGCCCATTATCCTGAATGCACACGGTTTAAATATAGTTCAGGGAGATCACTGAAAGCAGGGCTGCTTTTAGACCGAAGGTGCATATAGATTTGTTATATTGTTGTAAAATCCTCAGCCACTTTCAGCAAAAAAAAAAAATTCAATCCTTCCACCAGAATTGTCTTAGCAAACCTATTTTCCCCCAGCTGCATGGTGGCTGCTTCCATCTTGAATTCAAAATTAATTCTTCACTTCCCTGCCCTGTGGCCCTTGATCAAAACTGCAGCTGGGAAGATCTCGAAACCACTATCGAAATAAATTGACTCACTCAGGTAGGTCATTCAATACTGTCTAAATCTATTTGCTGTTCTCCTGTGAGGCAGAGACGAGGACATGTTGGTTCACAGAAACAGGCCGCTTTAAATCTCTTTGCTAGTGCTGAGAGGTTTCCACACTTTCAATTTCTATGTAAACCGCCTGGTTACATAGAAATTCCAGGAAAATATCTCCAGTTATACAAAGTGAAAGTTCTTCAAAAGTACAACCTGTTGGGTAGAAATGCCAAACTCTAAAATCAGTACTTTAGATTTATTTGATCTATGGCATTTAGGGGTGTAACATAAGAACCAGATAGCATCCATTTTTACATAGATTTCATAGTACTGTGAAGTAGACCCAACCAGGAAGTGCCATGTTACACAACTCAATAATTGTCTTTCCTGCGCCCTAATAATCTAACATTTCTGGTTAATGCATACAGTAAATCTGCCTTCTGTTTGCATCGTCTTTATAATCATTGTAATTTTTACCCAATTTCAAATGCAATGATGTTAAGCATTATCCTTTCTTGACCATTTAATGGAGGCTAAAATAAATTACAGTATGAAAGGTAAACCAGACTTGAGAATTATTAAAGTGTAACCTGAACAAAAACAAAATGAAAATATGATTTTATTGCTTCACATACCCGAACTAGGATAAACAAAGTCTGTTAAAATGTTTATGGTGCCTTATTCTGATTCATTGTGAGTCCCATTCTTAGTGATTTTCTCTGTACAAGGAGGTGTTTGCAAAGCAGCAGGAGACCGACTCGAGTCTGTTTAGTTAGACTCAATGGGGCCGCGGTCTAATGTTCCAAATTCCACTACATCAAAGTGGTGCAACTATTTTAAACATTTTCTTTACAGTAGTAAAAGTTAGTATTTGTGGTAACCTTGAAGCACCAGATTTTTAATACTTCCAACAAACCTTCCTGATGGATTTCTGGATCCATTTAAAACTTGAAGGCAGGAAACTTTAACTCAACTCAAAGCGACTCCCTTCATTTCCCTCCTAAATTATGTACAAATTCTGGCACCCTAATAATGGCGCAGCAGTATTTTTCGCCTGAGCTGAACTCTGTGTCAACTAATTAAGCAAGAAACTCAAATTATCCTGCTGGTAGGTCTGTCATGTGCTGCAGGGTTTGGGTTTAAATGTCAACTCTGTGTTTGTATTTGCTGTGAAATTCGCTGCCAGCCCGCTCGCCTTACACACAAGCTGAATAAAGTCTATAAACAGGCAGAAGCCAAGAGCTGAATTATTAATCCCTGGATATTACAAGAAGCTGACACATGTTTGCAGTTGTGGGACATTACTACTTCGCTGATATGAGATGCATAATAATTTGAGATGAAAACTAGATAAGTTCTGCTGAAGTTTAATGATTTATCTCAAAGCTGTAAGATGTTGTGATCTAATATTCAAAGGGGAGGGTTGACAAGTTTCTGTTGCTTGCATTATCTGTTTAATTTATTTTTCAGGTTCCCACCTCCACATAGGCTTTTTCTCTGCTTTATTGAGTCGTGAGGGGGTCTGAGAGAATATTTGAACAGAAGGAAGACATTAAAGAAAGCAGTGGAAGGCTTCGATTTTTAAACCTGTAGGGGTCCCTGGGAACCTAAAGGTGGGAATGAGCAGAGATAGAGTCTATGGGAAAGAGCCTGCATTATTTACAGCGGCACAGGCTCATAAAGAGAAAGCAGTGTTTGAATAGATTGCTGCTGTCTTCTGTCTCGCCTGAGGGTGTGTTCCTCGGTTTGTGATCCACCCAGACCTAAAAACCTCACATTCAAATGTCAAAATAAGACAGACAGCATTTGGGCTCATTTTAACATTGACATCGGTTCATTTTTTTCCAAATTCCGACTTTCATGACTCTACGGCTCATGATGAGATTCTGCAAGGTCGCAGAATCCTTCAAGTTCAGGTGGAAGTCAATCAACTCGGGTGCAGGGGGATTTTCCTCTGACAGATGCAATAATGTGGCGCGTTTGTGTACAGTAGGTTTAATGTATGAGTATTGTTCTACTTTATCTCCACCCTGCTTCAGGCTCTGCTTTGATTTTCCCTGTAATAAATAATGCTCTTTTGTCTTCTATGCTGCATTTGTTCCCAGTTGTAATCTCTCTACTGCTCAATAAATTATGAATAATGCCAGTTCAACCTGCTGCATATCTCTTCTTTTTCCATTTGTCATTTGGCATAATTTTCCCATTTTTTTTTGTTTTTCAGAAAGACATGCACAGCAAACAAACTATTTTTTCAGGCAAGTATAGTGAAGAGTTTAACTCAAATCTCAGTGGATTAGTGGAAAAAAACAAAAACACCACAGGCAATCTGCTTTGTGCACAGAATATGAGCGGGAGCAACACCAAAAAGAATATTAATAGCCTACTTTCACTTTTAGATGATATATTTGAGTTCAATTTTAGATCATTAAATGCTAAGATTAATAAAATCTAGTCTTTTTCATCGAATTTAAATACAAAATTGCAACATTTAATGTCTTGCAAAGACATTTTTCAGGTGTTAAATAATCAGCCTTCAGGCTGCTTTGTCCAGATTTTATTTGGATCAAGACCAATTACATATTACACACTTTGTTTCTACACATAACCCTTTTAAAAATAGTAACATGCATTTGCTATTACAGCAGCAAGTCTACTTTTGGTATACCAGGCTACCACATTTAGACTGAAATATTTGCCCTTTTTTCTTTGCAAAATGGCTCAAGCTATAATTGGTTAAAGCAGCTCTATACATAGGGGTGGAGTTTGAATTTTGATTGAAGCATCATAACATCTGGGTTTGCTCTGATCTAAACCAATCCTCTGGGCCTCTGTTCTGCTGGAAGGTGACCCTCACCCAACCCTCAAGCTTTCGCAGCTTCTAACAGGTTTTCCTCTGGGATCGCTGCACATTTAGCCTCATCCATGTAACCTTAATTCTGACCGGCTTCCCTGCCGTGCAGACGTATCTCACTATGGTGGTAATGGGGGGCACTGTCAGTTCAGGGTGAGGCGCAGAGTTGGTTTTCTGCTACGGTAATGTACAACATGGATTAAATATTTAGTTTAAGAACCATCTGACCAGATTACCACTTAATGCTGTTGCTGGCTGCCTTCCACTGCACATTCTCTAAGCTTAGGTTTATATTGACAACTTGAAGCACTTTATGACTAGGTTACATTTATATCCATCAGAATCTGATCACAAAAATCAGTACAACTTGTATTTGATTGCTTTACCCAAGGGCATAACACTTAAATTACATGTAGCAGGAGGAAGCATCAAGCCCACAATCGTTTTCAGGATGACTCCTTTTCCAACTGAACTACAGCCCTCCAAAATAGTTATTTTCTTTCATAAAGGGCAATACTATGAAGACATGACAAAAGGATGATGTGTAATGAGATTCTTGACAATTGTATTGGAATCTGAGCATGTCACTATATTCAATCTTCATATGATACAATCTTGATAACTCTTGTCACACTGCACCACAAAGTAATGCATCAATAAAGGGCTGACAGACATCAGTCAAGATATGAAAGGACAGTTATTACAGGTGCTATTGTTCAAAGGAAGAAGAGACATCTGTAGAAGAGCGCATAACTTTGGAGGACAATATTTATGGATCTGCTGTAGCAGCAGTTCCCCTAATTCAGATTCAAACTTTGGATGCTGCTTGATATGTTTCAGTCGATCAGTGAAAAGGATAAGCCCCTAATAAGCTTATTTACAAAGTATATTAGCCAAGAAAGTCAATACTCAGATTTTATAAGCTATTTTTTTTTTTTGGTTTATTGGTTATCCTAACAGACTCACCCCCTAAATAAACTGTCAAATCAGAGGCTACGCTTTTCAGCTCTGAAATAATTTCCAACAAAATGTGAGATACAACTAAAAGGGGCTGTAGAGCTTGCTGTTTTTCTTTATGTAAAAACGGAGCCTCCATCTGTTGTTCTTCCAGTCTGACAGCAAAGGTTTTTCTTTAGTGGAGCTTTAAAAGAATAAAATGGATCTGAATTTCTGGTCTCTAAAGCCTGCAAAAAATGATAAATGTAGCTTGATATGTGGGGGATAAAAACTGTGAAAAACGTATGTGCGTCTCAATTTTTTGAGGTGAGGTTTTAATGTGCTGCTTGTCAACTCATACATGTGACATCTGAGAATGCAAGTTTAGAAGTTATAAATACAAAGTCATACTAAAAATACAAATAATAAATACATTAGTAGCAATACACAACCCAGAGGAGGCTGTTACACCCCTTACCAGTTGGTGGCGTTTATGCACCTGTATGTTTGCCAGCTGCCTTTAAAGCAGAGGAGGAAAAAATATAACCATCCATCGTTAGTTATATCTTTGCTGAAATGTTGCTCTCAAGGCATCTACAACATAATGTTCAGTCAATGGTTCTGTTATTGCGCTCCTCTTATAAAAGCAGACGAACAACTTTTATATTGGGGCATTATTGTTGCAATAATATTTGCAAATGTCTGCCGAGAGTTGTTTGCAAATGTTTACTAAGATGCGCAAATCTTAGCACACATTTGTAGACCTGAATACAGATTTGAGGATTTTTTTTACAAATTTGCAAATCGGATTACACACAAGCTATTTTACACATGTGCAGATTCTCGCACAGACACACAAATCTCACACATTTGCAAATCCCACTGCACAAACAAATGAGATGCTGACACACAACTCTCCGCACATATTTACGAATAATATTCCAACAATAATTCCCCCATACTTTCAGGCTCATTACTGCCACCAACTGGTATGGGGTGTAACATCTTTTTTTTTATTTGTTCTCATTATTTTCTGAATCAATCTTTTTGACACACATTTTCGCAACTTTTACTGATTTCAACACAAATGTTACATTTGATTACATAAATTATCTTAAATTTACAAATTCATACTATTTTATACAAGTTATTGTATGTCATAGATATAGAATTAATACTACTGTTTATGAAACACTTGTGGAATGTGACCAAAAAGCCCCAGGTCTCCTTACAGGCTGTCTCTGATAAATCAGCTGATCCCAAAAAGGAACATATTGAATGAGTTTTTCAAACCAATCAACAGTGGTTTTTATAAAAGATTTTTATATAATTAGTTTTGTTCCTCTCTCTAGACCTGAGGAGTATTCTTGTAGAAAAATGATGTTTTGAAAACCTGCCTGATTATGTAGACTCATCCTTCACATCAGTTCTTTTTCATAGGACACATCTGTGTCAATATTTGACAGACTTTGTCTTTTAATTACACATTCCCTTTTGTGCGCTCTCCGAAAATTTCAGGCATTATCTCATTACTGCTTGCGTGCCATCAAACCTCTTTTCCTTCCTCTAATTGGAACGAGGAACAGTGCCAATGTTTATAGAGAAGTGGCATGTCACTGGAAATCTGTGAGAAGTGAAGACAAAAAAAAAAAAAGTGTGAGGTTCACCGTGGGCAGCCTCTGGATTTCTTCCGATTTCATCATTATTTTACGAAGATGTGTGAGGTGATTCCCTAAGACAACAAGCAGCTGGTGTGTGCAGACGAGCTTTGCTGTCCAAAATCTCTGAGAGAACAAAGTGAAAGAATTTCATGAGGGCTCAGCCAGTCATCCTAGGCTTTAGAGTTAACCCCACATTTCAGCTCGGCTCCTGTGAGTCATCTGTCTGGGGTTATAGGATGCAGCAAGCATGACGTCTGTATTATACAGTGTCCAGCATAGTTCCTACACCTTGAACTGAGATAAATTGTCAGAAAACCTCTAGTTTTCTTTTTCCTAAAGAAAAAAAATACAACCTACAATAAAATGATTCTGTTGTAGGTAGATGGAAAGAATGCCATTAGAGGAACCGTTTGCCACCATCCATACTGTATAAGATGACACAGCAAACAAATGAAAGAAAAAGGTCCTCTGCTCAGATGAATTTTACTTTATAATCATGGTTTACCTTGTTAAACCTTTGACCAAAAAACCTTTTCAGGTCATATCTGTAAAGTTGCCCTCATTTATACTTTCAGTGGGGACAGTATTTGATTCACTGTATATTTTGCAGGATTTTCCCCACTAACAAAGAATGTAGACGCCTACAATTTATCAAAGACCACTTCAACTGTGAGAGACAGAAATTAAAACAAATTACATTCTATAATTAATCTTTGACTTTCGTTTAATGAATGGGGTAATTATACAACACAATATAGAGAGACAAATTTTAGTGCTTGTTACAGGAATCTTTATTTACAATACACTGCAAAACATTTATATCTAAGTCCTTTTTTCTTAAAAATAAGTGTTTGTTTTTATTTCTTGAATTGAGGATGTAAGAGAGACACTTTGCCAGTGGAACAAGAAAATTTACATTTAAAATAAGAAAAACAAAAAAATTGCATTGTCTTATTTTAAGTGCATATTATGTACCGTAATTATCTTATTTAAGAGTAAAAATACTCATTCTATTGGCAAATCATCTTATTTACCTACTCAAATTAAGGCTAAATACACTTGATTTAGGAGACTTTGGCATATTTCTAGATCACTTTTTCAGTGTAGGTTAGTTATTTCCTTTAGTTTTTGATCAGGTTTTTAAACACTGCAGCAGAGATTTTGGACCAGTTCTCCATATTTTGATTTTGGGACTGCAAGGAACTGCTTTAGAGACATACACCCCTTTTACACTACCCCTTTGAAACCAATTTGTACCAAGTTCGGACAGAGCTTGGTTCTTAGAACCATTTACACATCACACTAGCCCGGTTTCTCGCCTCCTATCGGCGGTCCAACGAAACTACATCTTTCGAGGCGGGAATTACACAAGCAAAATAGGCAGCGCCCATAACATCCAGGAACTTATGCGCCTGGATAGCATCCTCAACCCTGAATTCAATGAGAGGCTTGGTCTCAGCATCGTCCCAGGAAGTGCCACCCCCTTTTAATGCCATTTATTATCAATAGGCTAGAAGAGGTTTGTGTTGTGAACAGGTGAAGAGATCTGGGAATTGCAAAGCCGGACACAACAGAAAACCCACTAAATGAGTCAGCTGACTGTAAATAGGAGATGACGCAGTCTCCTCATGCGCTGCTTGTTATCAGAGAACCCAGCTATAACTGAACCGTGCCAAGCCCTACTGTCGAAATA